GAGAGAGAGAGAGAGAGAGAGAGAGGGAATGTATTTGCCACAGGGAACTACTGTTCACGGAGTAGTCGCCTTTTTCCCCACATCGCTGATACTGAAATAATTCCTAAAGAGGTTATCCGTGACGATCCTGAGTGGGGCGAACAGTCAAGCAGATGTGGAATCACTTTCACAACGGCTGAATAAGACAACGTGGTGGATTAGGACTATGAACGAGAATGGGAGGTGTTTCAGATGAAGCGTCTCGTGAGGTAGTTACGTCAGTTGATAATACCCAGATCTCCAGTATCATAGTCGCAATAACATGCACACTGAGACATTGCATAATATATACAGACATTTCATGTTTTGGGGGCAGGATACTTCCCGGATGTCTAGACCGAGGAAGGTCTTCATTTTAGGAAATTTTCCAGCGACTGCTGGATGAGCGTGACCTAACCTCCAAGGCAGAGAGGGAGTGTAAAGTACAAAGTTAACTGAGCCGGTGGATGTTTTTGGGTTGTACACACTTTCGATGGGTCATTCATACAGGATATCCAGTGCTCCTTGGGTTCAACCTCACCCTACGTCACCTAAGTAGTCCACGTTTTCTGTCGCCTCCACAGGTCTTATGCGGATGACTTAAAATTTAAGTTTAACAATCCGCCCGAGACAGACAACTAGTGGTCTGCCAAACCGTTATCCCTAAGACTCCGAGTAATTTCTTGAGCTTCTCACACCCTTGACAGCATATCACCAGCTAACCACTTGGTTGACTCGTCATCTGGACAAAGAGGGCTTTCTACGGCAAAAGTTGAGTCACACGCGACTGAGCTAGTGTCATTGGGGTAGATGTGATGAATTATCGATCGAGTGATAAGTGGGGATCTCTAATGGAAAGTTAGTCGCCGAAACAAAATGCTCACAACAAACTATCACCTAAAATGTCTAGAAATAAGAGGGGCTGGAGTAAAATACACGATACAAGAAATACCTTGAGCGCACAAGTCAGGCGATGATAATACAGAGCATACAAGTTTGGTTATGAAGATAGAGTATCGTTTGATATTGATAGTGAAACTGGGTGGCTGTAGAAACGGAGCGCAAAATCTGTAAGATCGCTCAAAAACTGCGCTGACAACATAAAAAGCCCGGCACAGCTTACCTTGGAAACCAGTCGTTGATATCCGTTCGACACAGTGATGACCAGGTGATGAGTAGAGAGTTGGCTACGATCCAATCGCTCAGCCAGAAAAACAAATACCTCGACAGGAGAGATGTGACCTAATCCGAATGGTGGATGTCGCGTTCCGTTTGCTGCTGTAGGTGGAGAGTGGGAGGGTGAGATGAAAACAAGGCGAATGACGGAAGGGTTTTTTCCTCAGGCAACCAACAAGCCCACCGACCTCGTTACCCGAAACCGAGAACGAAAACACAAGACGCAAGGAACAACACAAAAAACAAAACAGTAATTTCCGTTCAACAGAACAGGAGAGTGGTGATTCAGCAAGCAGCATTTAACGACCCGAGTGAGTGATTGATTTGAGGATGCGGATGGGGTGGAATTTAAGGTGATACTTGTACACACGTTGGGTAGTTGCGGGGTCACGAGCAGTTGGCTATACATAGGCGGTCGGATACAACAGAAAACTTCAAACTTATGACACTATGCCCTAAAATGTTGTTTTAATATATAAACCCACTACTCAGGGATACTTCAGTGACCGGAATAAGTATTTAAAACAACTATGTTGCGAAAGGAACACTGTTCAACTACTTGAGGAGTGAGCAAATAAATATAATGGTAGAAAACAAAACAAATAAGCAATAGGTGTAGAAAAAATGAAACATGGGGAGGAAGGTAGTCCACAAAACACTTTTTCCCATCGCCCCAACTGAAGAAAATCCATCATCGAAGTTTTGAGGGCGCGAAATTTGTTTCCACTGCAAAGGTCCCTGAGGAAACAAACCCAATACAACCGAAAAGGATACAATTTTGAATCCTCAGATGACCGGTTTCCTAACCAGGAAGAGATGTCACATGCTACTGGTCCATATTTACCAGCTGCCTATCGTTTCGTAGAGTTTAAACCATACACAAAGCGGATGCACTAATACACCAAATTTGTTGGCCTTTTTGATTGGACTCAACTGAAATCAACGGATAACTCAGCCATAAACACTCACATCGCGCCATTCGTTTGAACAATTGGTACCTGAAGAATCGACTGAAGAGATGAAAACGCACAAGGACTTAAATAGTCCCAATAGTTCCAAGTAATAATCTTTTCGCCTTTTTTTCACACAAGAATCCGTGTCTATGGTAATATATCGTGTTCACTGGTTCCCATTCAAATTTAGTTAGGTAGCCTAGGCGAAGATGACAAACTAATATGACAGTTGGCCACTCAACTGCGAAGAACTCCCCGCAGCATGGGAAAATAATTGTGTAGCCAATCCGCTGCAAATATTTTACCTTGAGGGCAATGGTACTGCAACAAAGTAAGCAAAGCTTGCTTGGGATCAAGCCAAAAAATGTGGGAATATGGCCCCAGTTGTTCCCTTGACACCTGTCACAACAGTAGCTCAGTTCGCACACAATCACAAGTTCGACAAATAGAAACTATCAAATGAAATGTGCTGCGGCATCAATAAGAGAAAACAGACCTAGGTGACAAGTCGACGATTGACAACGTAGCACCTGAACACTGCCATCCCATAGCTTTACCGATGGAAAGTTATCATGTGTTCACGCACACCCGACCCGAAAAAGACAATTGTGATGGTTGCTGTCGATCGGACTAGATGTCCCAATCCGATAGACACACCGCCAGGTTAATGGAGACAAAATGGTACAAGTGGATGATCGGGTAATGTAATGATTTTCCCAATTTATCAAACAAAAGAAGTGGCTGGCCGATAAAAGGTAAATCGTTTATATGGAGTGGATTAGTGAGTGACTTAGATAAGAAAACAAAGAGAGGGATTGTTGACGGGGAATTATGGATCAGACAAGAAAAGAGACGTGTACAAAAGAGATGGTAAAGAACGCAGGTACCCAGCAAGAATGTTCACCGATAGTAAACTGCGTAGAAAAAGTAGAGTGACAATGTAAACATGAGGAACTGGGAACTAGTGCGAATGGGGCAGCCGGCGTAGAACTACATTATGGAAAGAGCCGCGGGTCATATCAACAGCGGTTGGAAAACAGGTACGGACATCGGTATGCTCGAAAAGAGAAAACGCGCCCAATACCATCAAGTCACCTTTGTGAGTTGTAACCAAACCAAAGGCACGAGACTTTATATGCTTTAGTCAACAGAAGAAATTATTCACCGAAAATAGGGCGATTTCGCTCATTTCTGTACGGGGCGCCACAGATTGATGGTGGGAAAGAAACGCCATGTGGATCGAACGTAAGACTGATTAGAATTTCAGCCGGAAGGAGCTCAAGCGGCCGTAAGGGGCGAAAGCCCACTATGAAAAAGACCCGAGTAATTTATTTTCTTTAGCGAACGTTTCAATCGCACTATCCCCGCGCCAACAATGACACGAGCAAATCTCTAGAAAACTCGTGTTCGAGTCATCTGAGTGACAAATAGGCGGGTAGATACACTAGTGGTGCACAGCAGTCACACATACTTGAGCTAAACGAATGCACAAATTCACGTGTGACCCAACCCGGATTGTTTCTACGGGAGTGAACGCTTCAATGAGCCTAAAAGGGTTCAATTATACTTTCCGCATCAGGTAAAAGGAGTAGAAATTGCCGTGTCAATTGCTAACAAACGGATGACCGAAGTTTAGACAAAACATGCTGCCGTGGCCCATCATGCGGGTCTTTTTTAAGAATGAGGTCTATCGCAAGGTGACAGCGTAATGGAATGGTCAATCACTCGATTACCATTTTCGTTGTCTCTTTGTGGATAGAAAGTAGAAGGGATAATGAAAACACATCGAGAGGAGAGGATAAGTCCAAGAAAATGTGGTGATAGAGCCATACAAAGTAGCATGTGGTTTGGAAGTTGGGAAAACTACGAGGACAATCGAGACCGTGCGATATGATGCCGTACTTCAGCTTATGTAAGATAATTCTTTACGACCAGCAACTCATCTCAAAACGGCAGACAGTCAAGGAGTATGGTTGCACGACCCATCCTCTGCCCAAACTATTCAAATGGGGTAGATTATTAGATTGATATGGGTGAATCCAAACAAGAGTTCCTTGTTAAACACACCATTCATTTCTTATTATTCTGAGGGTATTCTACGGCTGGCGGTTGAAGAAATGCATCATACCCAAAACGGTAAGCGTGGTCGGACGGAACTTGTGTGGAAACAAGTGGTTCAGATTTTCACGATGCGGTATGGATTTGATATAACCAGTTGCGGAAAACAAGATCTGGTGTGAATACTGTGCCGACTTAACATATGACCCCTCATCCACAGTTCCACTCAAACTAAGTATGGGTACGGAATGCACACATTCCTCCTGTATAACACTTACTCTTAACAGCAGCTGAAATCACAATGAACTGAAGTGCATTTATGGTCATCTGATAAACTTAATACTACCGTTTTAATTTCTAGCGCAGCAGGAACACCTAACCGCAGCTACCGCTCAGGTTAGACGACACCGAATCAAGCTAACGTGACGTACATTCAGTGTGTAATTGTTACGCACTCTGTAGGTGAGTCCGAGGCTTATACTAGGCAATAATGCCCATATGTAAACGGCAGAAATTGAGAGGGCAATGGTGGACCTGGTGTAACGGTGATACTACTGGTGGGGGGCATAGGAGTAGTATGTTTTGTTCTTGTAAATTCGCTTGGCGTCACTTGAAGAGGGATCTGTTGCGGGATTTGTGTAGTCGCTTTGTAGCAATTGCTTGGATTTGAGCAATGAATGATTGGAGCCAATGAATATCCAGGAAAGTTCAAGAAGACGCGTTCAGGAGAAGATGGATGTCCAGTTCTGTGAATAAGATGTAAATGAGAGTCTTGCTTCCCAGTCCAATAGTCTGTAACTGATCAGTTGGCATTTTTTAATAAATAACTCCGCAGCGAAGGCCTCCTTCCTTTCACTGGCAGTGGAACATCTCATCCTCAGTCCATTACTCCGAAGCCAAGAACTAAGTTCATCAGCTGCATCAACTGGTTAACAGCCTGGAACTGTCAACTGAAAAGTAGTGTGCACGATTCATCTACACCCACTTTTGCTATGAGCAACGACCGTCCCGGATAAAACCCAGTGGGCTTTGTTACAGATCGACTGGCTTCAAACAAGCAGTCTGCATCCTCAGCTCCAAAAATTAGGAACGAAAAATGATACAGGAAAACACCAGACAGTACTTACAGTTTTGGTGGTTGTCCACAAGTTAAAAATTGGGAATCACAAAAAGCTGTACGTTTCGATTGTCATGCACGAACAGTAAAATTTGAAAGCTATCGCAATAGCCACCATTACACCAACAATAGATAGTGGCGCTAAAATGCCACACAGAAAGATAGCAGACTATCCTCATCGCGAAAATGAGTGGAGGAAAGATGATGTAGTAATGCAAACCTCGTTAAGTCGTTCAACAGATGCACACATTCGGTTATTGCTTGGTCAGCTGCCCTGTAATCTAGTCAGGAGCTGTCAATCAAACCGCTGGTTCAGACGGAAAACGTCTCTTATAGCCAACTATACGTAAACAAATTGTGAACAGTCTCAGTGTAAGTATTGCCACAGCTGCTGCTGCAGCGTATTTTTCCCAAACTAGCTTATAGTACCCAATGTTTCAGTTGACCGAACAATCCATGATAGGGGCGGAAAGCTGATAACGACACCCAACGAACGGAGACAATCTACGTTACAGGCAGGTGAAGATACGGTTGAAAAAAATTTAACGCCTATCAGTGATCTCTGGGAAGCAGTAACAGGTTACGTCTGTAGACATTTTCATTAGAGTATAAACTAGGTTCGGCATTCGACAAAACATGATTACCAGTGGGAAGAAGACGATTGAAACGAGTGGGATAGAACAGATTCCGTAGTCGCGATTCTGGACGATTCTGGAAACGCCGTCATGATGCAGACAAGACAAAGCACTGCACCCCTTCAAGAGTGACACAATAAGATTGATCAGCCTACGACCGATTCCGCCTTGTTTGAGCTTCGCCAGAAGGGCATGACTTTACCATAAACGAAATCTACAACAAAACTCGTTTTGACTTCCTATCAGTTTGGTACAGAACAATTACGGCCTTTGTCACTCCAAGGGGTTGGACGAGAACTACCCGAAGCCGAACAAAACCACCGGGGTAAACTGAAGCTGAACTGCTTCGTGTCATTAGTACACTGGACAATGTAGCCGATGCTACCTAATGGTAGCGACATACGGGATGTTCGAAATGCAAGGGAAGCGGGAAATGAAATTTTGTCCCTCGTCTTCTTCCAGCACGCATCCACAAGGTAAATACAGTCGCAAGTATGACCTCACACAGTTTTCTTTATGGTCGTTGGCTTGTTCGCTGAGTTTGTCCCTCGCTTCCAGCACGCATCCACAAGGTAAATACAGTCGCAAGTATGACCTCACACAGTTTTCTTTATGGTCGTTGGCTTGTTCGTTCGCCTGGGCAATTTGGTTGCAAACGTTTCATCACCAATCGAGGTGACATCATCAGTGCGTAGTTGTTTTGAACAAACTGATGTTTTCTAATCTTTCGGTCTTTCTACTGTTTGAAAATAAATCAAAGTTGAGACCGTCTCCAGGGATCGAGAGGGAGCGGTGCTCGTAAGAAGACTGTCCTCTGGGAGGTTGTCGTTTCTGAGGATTATTTTACTCCTGACTCGGGTCACGGACGTTAGTCGGATCGTTCAGTGATACACCTCCATTCTTAACGTGCTTTTCCACCAATAATCAACCCTAATTAAACGCGTTTCATTTTATTGTGGGCATCCAAGGAAGTTTTTACTGTACCTGTCACGTTGGCCTATATTATATCTCCGTGTATGATTTTCCGGACTTCAATTGCTAGCCTGTCCACCACCGAAATTTCGCTTTTCATATTTTCTGATTCTCCAGTCAGACAGCATCCCACATATTGTGACAATGCCCCGACCCTCATTTTTCTTGCTCAATTTGTTACTTTTTTCTTTGATGAAAATCCCTCATTGCGTCCTGGTCTTACTAAGTTTACCTCATATTCTGGTGAAACAAAAGTCTATTTTTGCAACGACTTTAGTGTGCCGTAGCATCCTTGCCACATTAAACACATCTACCTGTCTTTGTTATTGTTGAGTAAACAGAAACCCTTGAGATCAATAGGATGTGGGATATAAAAGAGACAATGTACATGGGCGAGATAGCCCAAGTGGTTAAAGCGCGAATTTACTGACCGGAAGGTCTGTGGTTCGAACCCAACCTCTCCCTCTCGACTTCCCCTGTCTAGGCTTGGGCAACCTGGCCGTATCCCAGCCCTCGTGGTTCCTTCGGGTAGCATGGCTGCTAGGCACCGGAAGGGTGCTACAGCTGAACGTTTTTTTCATGCAACACACCTTATAGCTCTCTATGCGACAACTGGCGTCTCCGTTCTGATTTGTTTTGCCGTTCTCTAATACCTCTCTCTGATCTGACCCATGATCAGCCGGTACGATTTCTGCTATCCGTAAGTCGAATAACATTCAGGGCTGCGGCTAACCGACGTTGGGTATATAATGGCAGGGACACATAGCGTCAGACAACAGACGGCACAACACTCCTTGGTACTACCTTTGAAGCAATTTTCCGTGTTATTTGCATAAACATGTTTAGATATTCATAGTTATGAAACTTCACTCAAACGAGACAGCTCTCCCCTTCTTAAGGTTGGATTCCTGTGTGGATTGTACAGTTTTTTACAGGGGCCGAATCCACATGGTTGTGGTGTTTGCCGTTCGTGAGCGGTGTTTTCGTCTAAACTGGGTCTGCTCCCTGTTACTACCAGCTCTTATGCGACCGTATTTTCCTAATTTTTATAAGGTCCCCGTAAAGAAAAAGCACTGTGTAACGTTCACATTAGCATAACATTGGCATGCTCGTCGGCAAAACAATTTCTCCTTGCCATCACCACCAACTCCCCCTCCCCCAACTCTCCTCGAATTTTGTTTTATCGGGACAATGGCATTCTTCCGGATCTGTATGCAGTCCCAATCGTACATGTTTTTGTTTAAGCGTCGAATTTCTAATGTCATAGTATGCCTCCCATATCGCGAAGCATTCGCTGAAGACCATTTTACTTTTAAAAAGTAGCCCGCCAGACGCTGCAACAATCTACCCCCGATTTTTGTTTGTGGTTCGCTTGGTCTGGCAAACTATACTCGAAAAAATGCCCTGCCTTGAAAGCGGGACAGTCGGTTTGGGTCCGGATTTCCTGGCAGCTGACCAACGGTTGTTTACCCAGTTCGCTTGCAGACATGGCCATGGCGGTGGATGGGTGAGCAACAGTCACGACCGTCATAAAGAAAACTATAGAGGAGAATGTCGGTAGCTCAGGTGGCGTAGATGGTCGTTGGCTTGTTCGCTGAGCTGGGCAATTTGGTTGCAACCAAATTGCCCAGCTCAGCGAACAAGCCAACGACCATCTACGCCACCTGAGCTACCGACATTCTCCTCTATAGTTTTCTTTATGACGGTCGTGACTGTTGCTCACCCATCCACCGCCATGGCCATGTCTGCAAGCGAACTGGGTAAACAACCGTTGGTCAGCTGCCAGGAAATCCGGACCCAAACCGACTGTCCCGCTTTCAAGGCAGGGCATTTTTTCGAGTATAGTTTGCCAGACCAAGCGAACCACAAACAAAAATCGGGGGTAGATTGTTGCAGCGTCTGGCGGGCTACTTTTTAAAAGTAAAATGGTCTTCAGCGAATGCTTCGCGATATGGGAGGCATACTATGACATTAGAAATTCGACGCTTAAACAAAAACATGTACGATTGGGACTGCATACAGATCCGGAAGAATGCCATTGTCCCGATAAAACAAAATTCGAGGAGAGTTGGGGGAGGGGGAGTTGGTGGTGATGGCAAGGAGAAATTGTTTTGCCGACGAGCATGCCAATGTTATGCTAATGTGAACGTTACACAGTGCTTTTTCTTTACGGGGACCTTATAAAAATTAGGAAAATACGGTCGCATAAGAGCTGGTAGTAACAGGGAGCAGACCCAGTTTAGACGAAAACACCGCTCACGAACGGCAAACACCACAACCATGTGGATTCGGCCCCTGTAAAAAACTGTACAATCCACACAGGAATCCAACCTTAAGAAGGGGAGAGCTGTCTCGTTTGAGTGAAGTTTCATAACTATGAATATCTAAACATGTTTATGCAAATAACACGGAAAATTGCTTCAAAGGTAGTACCAAGGAGTGTTGTGCCGTCTGTTGTCTGACGCTATGTGTCCCTGCCATTATATACCCAACGTCGGTTAGCCGCAGCCCTGAATGTTATTCGACTTACGGATAGCAGAAATCGTACCGGCTGATCATGGGTCAGATCAGAGAGAGGTATTAGAGAACGGCAAAACAAATCAGAACGGAGACGCCAGTTGTCGCATAGAGAGCTATAAGGTGTGTTGCATGAAAAAAACGTTCAGCTGTAGCACCCTTCCGGTGCCTAGCAGCCATGCTACCCGAAGGAACCACGAGGGCTGGGATACGGCCAGGTTGCCCAAGCCTAGACAGGGGAAGTCGAGAGGGAGAGGTTGGGTTCGAACCACAGACCTTCCGGTCAGTAAATTCGCGCTTTAACCACTTGGGCTATCTCGCCCATGTACATTGTCTCTTTTATATCCCACATCCTATTGATCTCAAGGGTTTCTGTTTACTCAACAATAACAAAGACAGGTAGATGTGTTTAATGTGGCAAGGATGCTACGGCACACTAAAGTCGTTGCAAAAATAGACTTTTGTTTCACCAGAATATGAGGTAAACTTAGTAAGACCAGGACGCAATGAGGGATTTTCATCAAAGAAAAAAGTAACAAATTGAGCAAGAAAAATGAGGGGGGGGGGCATTGTCACAATATGTGGGATGCTGTCTGACTGGAGAATCAGAAAATATGAAAAGCGAAATTTCGGTGGTGGACAGGCTAGCAATTGAAGTCCGGAAAATCATACACGGAGATATAATATAGGCCAACGTGACAGGTACAGTAAAAACTTCCTTGGATGCCCACAATAAAATGAAACGCGTTTAATTAGGGTTGATTATTGGTGGAAAAGCACGTTAAGAATGGAGGTGTATCACTGAACGATCCGACTAACGTCCGTGACCCGAGTCAGGAGTAAAATAATCCTCAGAAACGACAACCTCCCAGAGGACAGTCTTCTTACGAGCACCGCTCCCTCTCGATCCCTGGAGACGGTCTCAACTTTGATTTATTTTCAAACAGTAGAAAGACCGAAAGATTAGAAAACATCAGTTTGTTCAAACCAGAAAAAATCAGCTTTTTTAGAATCAGCCGAATTTTTGGCGACACCACATCACGTTTACTCGTGTGTCTTGTTTGTTCTCATATTTACTACTCTCAGAGTATATCATAATTACCATGTATTCTCTTTTATAAACATTGGGGAAAGTTCTGGGATTATATTGTGATTCTTAAAACATGTGCATGAGCCTCGATGGGACCAAAGTCATCAGTTGAAAAATCCACGAATTATCGCTGAGACAGGGTGTCAAGTCTAGGATATGCACCGCAATGTCGGAGTGTGAAACATGCTAGATCAAACGAAATCTTAATGTTTGAAGAATTCGCCCCGAGGCGACTTGTACCTCTACCTGGAAGATTCCAAGAAATAGCTGATGTTTTTTTCTGGCCGAATGCTTCACCACTTCATAATCTCACGGGGGCGAGATGGCTCAAATGGCTAGAGCGCGAATTTACTGACCGGTCGGATTCGCGGTTCGAACCCGACCTCTGCCTCTAGACTACCCCTGTCTAGGCCTTGGCAACCCGACGGTATCCCAGCCCTTGTGCTTCCTTCGGGTGGCATGGCAGCCAGGCACCGGAAGGGTGTTACAGCTGAAAGAATCTCACAGTGGATAAGATCAACCGCAGTTTATCGGATCGTAATCATGGACGATAAGATTACAACAAACACCAACTGTAACCAGGATTCTCACAAACATTCTAACGAATGTTTTGTGACCCGAATGATAAGCCACCGTTCGATAACAACAGGAGACAGACGAAAATAATACCGTTACTTTCGGTTTAAAAAACTTCACAGAAGTCCGCTTATACCTGAATTCACATTTTGTTCGGTTTGATTAATTTCACACTGGATGCAATACTCCAGTGCCTGGAATTTTTATTCAGTCGCTCGAATATTGATGAGATTACGGGAAGGTTCTCGTGCTCAACCGCTTCTTATGGTCATAAGTTCAAGAGCTTGCCAGTTGTAAACCGTCTACGGAACGATTCCAGGAGTTCCAGTTTGAGTGGATGAATAATTGGATAGCCGAGAACTGAAGGTGGCAAGCACTGAAGAGCGCAGACAAAGCTGCATAACAGGACCACCGGTGTGTTCCGTCTCAGAGGTTCCAGCAAGGGATACGGCTGTCGAAGTAGCTAATGCATTGGTGTTGTGTTGAGATCGAAACGTCATCAAATCACTACCATTAGATACATAGCTGGATGAAAAGAGGTCGGTGGCACCCCAACACTGGAGATTTGTTGTGCCCATCGAATTCAAACAATACTTCTCACTCATTTGGAAGCGATCTTCTCCTTAGACAACATAAGTCGACCTCAAAAAAAATTACCGAATACTATCGCATTAAAGTTAACGATGTAATGGATTGAATGACACCCTAGCACTGTGATAAACATGCGCAACACAAGGCAGTGTTGGAGGGGAAGGCGTGACGAGGAAAGTCCTGAGGCAGAGGGAGTACTGTATACAGACGGTTAGACGAGGAGAATGTCCGTGGAGACACGGCTTCTGATCTAACAACGGTAAACGGACCACAACGTCTGATATTACTGTTCAAGCAGACAAGTCGACTTCACTTCGATATAGACGTCAGTGGTGTGTGAAATCTATCACCCTGACAAGAGAGCTGGTCATCTGCTGTGAATCCCCAGATCTAATAATCTCAGTAGCACAAAAACAACGAACAAAACCGAAGGGATGTGTGATGGGTTAACGGTAATACGAAAATTAGGGTTGCCACAGTAAGGCTTGCACGGTCTGTCCGATACGGGGGAGATACGTTCCAATCAGTACAGCAGGTTACATATAATCATAAAGGAAACTACACATATAATTGCTTAAACTCTTATACAGCCCATGACCGGTTTCGCCCTTCTTGAGGCTGATCAGGTAGGTGCAGTCCCCGAGTTTCCGTCAACCTTATGTCTACTTGAACCCATCAGTTTTATGGATATGGATAACAATGACTGAAGATTTGAATGTGACGGACTTGAGTAAGTTACACAAAAACGTATTGGATGACCAACTAAGCTTTTTGATGGTCTGCATGCTCCATGCAATTTGCCGGACGGCAGAACATATCGATCTCATAATTCGGGCTTACAACTGCAATCATGACCGGAATTCGACATGCTGACCATTCACACTTAATTTAACGCGAAAGATCAATTTAGGGCATATGAACACGTCCGTAATTCAATGGTGCGATAATGAACAACCAAATGGCGTCTTGCTTGCATCAATCGACTGAGTTGAACTCATGCAGCTCCTTTACATCCGGATCGTTCACTGGTTTAGCAACCTGGACTACGGTCACTAGGACGTACCAGTGTCCGCAAGGTCGACTCAAAAGGGCAGCACAAACTAAACAGGGTGTGACTGTCCAATGGTACAATCGCCTATCACCATAGCTCGCTTCGGTTTATGTGGACTTAACCAACAGATGTGAACAAACTGACAACAATACAAAGAGGTGAACAGTGTTCACATCTTAAAGGTTGAATGCTGAGTATAAGTTTTGAGTTGACCGAGGGAAACGTAGTTCGCTGACGACACCATATGACCCCAGTGAAGCAGGAAACCGCTACAAAGAATAACCAATCACGAACAAAATCGATCAAGGACAATTCAGTGATGACAAAATGCCAACAGTTCATGCTAAGGATCTAAGAAAACTCACTGGAGAGGGAAAATGTGAGAGTGCGACCCGATGGATCTAGCGAATCCGCCACAGAAAATGTGAAGAGCCTGTGACCGACGGCATGGTAGCCACGTAGTGAGAAATTTCGGGGCGGTGAGACAATGAATTGCAATTCGCTTCGACCAGATGAACCCGAAGGGCTCGGAAGAACGGAGATGTGAACACCGACCGGCCGATTGTCATTGGCTATTCGAGCTGGTTGGCCGAGATCCTTGGCATACACCTTGGTACAGGAAAATTAACGGAAAATATTAGGGAGGTAAATTCAAAACACAATCGGTTATCCGAGAACTAAAATACGCCAGTAGCAGGTAGGTATGCTAAGTATATTTGCAGTAAACGGAACACGTTCGTAGTAGTGCACAAGTGTAAAGAAACTCACTCGGATTCTATATTCACCAGACTGAAGCGGAACATTGTCAGAACATATTAGGCCGCTGTCCTGTTTCACATCGAAACCACCATCTGGATAGGGTGCGGACAAATGATCAGCCACACTGTCCCGCCAGTATAAAACTGTACCATTAACAGAGTCATCCAGATCCAATGCGAGCACCCGATTCACACAACCAGTCAAATGGTCTGGGAGTGAGGATGAGAGAAGGTATTAGTTATTTTGGCCTCAAAAAATGTCGACAAAACCGCACTTTTACACGTTCCAAATAATGTCAGTTCCTTTGAAAATTCAAGAGGTATGAAATCAAAGGACAGAACGTGAATCAGAGATGCGGTGCTTTCAGGGGCTTCGAAAGTCGCTAATTTTCTAGGAAGCGAGGACCATGGTAAACGCCTAGGAGCAACAAAAGAATACCGAATGCGAGGAATTTTAACGAGGAAATCTGGTAAAGAAGTGAACGGTACTATTGGTGAACTAGTTAGCCCCGCTACCTGATAACTACGGAATTAACTCATATTGGGCGCCCACAAGTCATCGAAGAGGACAAGTTTAGGCGGATACCTCAGTGACAGATAGTTCCCTGATAGTGTGACGGAATATCGGTAGCTCGAGTGCATTCAACGGTAATTGCTCAGGTGGCTGGTAATCTGTTCGCCAAACTCGGCGAACAGGTCGAATGCCACTTGGTCAATTACCAGATAGTACGTTGTCATTGGAAGTAAGAGTTCCCAGCTGTTTATTCCCGTCTCCGTTCAGAAATTCACATACTCGTGCGCAATATATGAGAGGGAATGTGACCGTGGAAATTGTTGAAAAACACCTTACAAGAAAAAGAGCAGCTAAACATCGTCGGACTGGACAGAGAGGGAGAGAGAGAGTACAACTAAGTTCCCCATAATTTTCGAACCAGAAGTGAAGATGGAAGGAAAAGGTATCTATAGAATGGTAAAGCATTGGTTTGTTACGGCAGGTATTAACTTCAGAGTTCAACGAATATCGCATCTTAGAGGACTAATAGTAGTCTCGGTCTGAATAACAGACGTTAAACGTAATGCACTACTCTTGCGCCTACCTGATGAGCCCCAGGAAAGACGTGGGCAGTCCAAGTTTTCAGCAACCTTGCGAGTAGTACATTACATCTATACGATGTATCGCGATATCCCGAATCTCATACCAAGTGAAATATAAGGTGGCCTGGTGCAGCAAATTCAATTGCTTAATAACGTCATAAACTAGAGGTCAGTTGGGTTCGAGTTGAGTCTCCCGTCAGAACCAAACTGGTATGTATTTGAAATTCGCCATGGTACATAATCATCATCATGGATAACAGTAATGGAAACCGGTACTTCGGCGTCATACAGCTATGGGGGAACGTCGTGGGAGAAGGTAAAAATAAACGGAAAGGTGCGTACCTATCACAGAAACCCTATGGCCCCAGAGAAAATGAGTTAAATACACCTTCTAAAAACAATTAAAATAAACAAATCTGAGAACCACTTTAGGGAGAGACACTATCAGCAGGGGTGACCCAACGTTCTTTGCAAACCACACCCAAAACAAGCCTAGCACAACTGTAGGAAAGCGTTAACTGGGCTGCCCGGGCTGAGAAGTGAAAGCGGGCTTGTCACTGTGATCAGCCGCATGTCACATCCTGTGGGGTTCCCAACCGCGTGCAAAGATAACCACGTGAACCCAACCCAGGAAGATCCACAGTCTACAACTCACCGTTGCCATATTATGGCCTGCCTTCCGCGAGCGTTTGGCCAACAAGGGAGTTGGGCAGAAACACGGTTTTATTTGGTAGATAGTGACCAGGTATCATGCACCAACCACAACCCAATAGGCACCATCAGCTAGCTACTCGATAGAATCCGGCCCATTACTTAGCACTCGCTTCCAGACTGTTTCATTTTGCACCTGCTGTAGTCAGTTAACTCGTGCTACGTACGGAGACACCGATGATCAAATAACGAAAACTTAGAAGTCCTCAGATCAAGCGGACCAAGCTTCACAGCTCTAAGGGTCGTTTTGTATGCAAGTCAGCCAAAAGGGACGCGATTTGACATATATTACTCATGTATTGATGATGTGTGTATTGATGTGTTTCCAAGATCCTGGTTACAAGCATTGTTAAGAAAAGACCACGATGCGACAAAGGAGTTTCAATCGTGAGGGTAAAAACTGGCATATACGTTATGTTGTCACTGGGCTGGAAAGTTGGATGGGACCAGACATCTAACCGAAAGAGCTAAAAGCCCTCCACAAGTGAATAAATTTGGATTGGAGGGTCAAAGAGTTAGTGTGTGGTCGCCAAACAGCCCCGAAACCATCGACAGAGGACAAAGCACTTATGGGACAAAGTAAACCGCACTTCAATGAAGATGAAAAATAGCAAGATATGAGCTCCCGACTGCTCGGTAAACTTGTCCCTTTTCCTATGAAATGGTGTTGGAGGCAACGGGAACCTGATGCTCCTGTTTGCACCCCAAAAGCTGTTTTCATAAACTATAAGTGGAAAATTGGAGCGAGGAGACGGGCGAGATGGAGCAAGTGGTTAGAGCGCGAATTTATTGACCGGAAGGTCCGTGGTTCGAAACCTCTCGACTTCCCCTGTCTAGGCTTGGACGACCTGGCAGAATCCCAGCCCCCGTGCCTCCATCGTGTGGCATGGCAGCTAGGCACCGGAATGATGTTAAGCTTGACCATTCAATTTTTGTTCAAAAGTCATGGAAAAATGAAGTGAATTCAGGAACTTCACAGTACATGACCGAGAACACTGTGGTGGATAGTCGCGTTAGCATGCATTGAGTAATAAGCACACAATTGCGAGATCGTGCGAGTGATCGAGTCGCTGCGGCAGGATAGTTATAGCTAACTGAGCATGATGTGGTTGTGGACACAATGCATGGCAGCTGGCACCGGAATGATGTTAAGCTTGACCATTCAATTTTTGTTCAAAAGTCATGGAAAAATGAAGTGAATTCAGGAACTTCACAGTACATGACCGAGAACACTGTGGTGGATAGTCGCGTTAGCATGCATTGAGTAATAAGCACACAATTGCGAGATCGTGCGAGTGATCGAGTCGCTGCGGCAGGATAGTTATAGCTAACTGAGCATGATGTGGTTGTGGACACAATGAAAGACCAATTGTACCATCATGGCGCATCAGTGAGTCATCGCCACCAACAGTGCGTTCGAAGAGCTAATCGACAATGGTACACAAGCGGTGGGTGAATGGGCATGTCAGCTAACTGATTGTATTAATGGTTATCGAGACGGAAAATCCTGACTTGGTCTATCCATTAGGATGGCGAAGTATATGAGACATCCATAGGTGGCATTTGGCAAAAATGATATCTACAATAAGGCTGTCGAATTATTGCGCCGCCTGTTAAAAAGCACTACACTGAAATGGAATCTCTCCAAGTGCCACAGTGGTCACAAAGGCTACGCACATGTGAACAACACATGAGTGGGACCGAAAATACGTTGATAACAAGCGACGCAGAAAGTGTTTCAAATCCAACTCCCTTAGAAGACGAAGTGACTTCACGAGATATTGGATGGATGAGTCGATCACTCACCTTGTTCACTCTCGTACACGCGGAAGTGATAGACAGGCGAATCAACATCCGTTACCGAAATGGAGTCGACTGAACCTAGTTGTATAAACTTTGGTGTCTGGTCATTCACATCCAACAACGTGACCAGGACACGAACTTCGCACGATTTCGGTGGAGTTCCTTGGTCAGATATAGATACCTAAGAAAAGACAGGGAGAGAATGAAGGAGAGTCCAAAGTGATACCTTTCTAAGTACACTGTTCTCCAAAAAGTACGCACATGTTGTTCATCATTAGCGTAAACATGAAAACGGATAGCACGTCTCCGCAAAGATATGAAAATACATCTGACTGTTTATTTTTCACTATTTCACTGAAGGTCTTTTGCAACTTCATCACCCCTCATTCATACCCTACAGCTTGTACTTACAAATTGCGGAACGCGAAACATAGCAGAGCATGAGCGCTACCTGTTTCGACAGGTCCTTCCAGCCCAGGTTGCTATATTGTGCCGTCTGGCTATAAGTTGTCTTATGGGGATAGCGGATAGATAGAGCACAAATCAAAATGTATCTATTACCGTTGCCGAAGGTGAAAACCATATCCACCAGTCCTTCGAGCAGTGTTATGAACTGACTTCGACATCCAGATAAATTGACCGGCCCCGATGCTGAAATGAGTCGATAAAGTCCCAGTAGCCTAGTCAGACAATTCGCTTCCCAGATTCTCATGCTGGCAAGTTGTCTTTTGTAGACACCTGCTCACAGAACTATGCGTAGTCATTGACTTAGCGGACTTAATTATCAGTAGCGGTTAGAATCCATACTCGCTGCAGTTTGCTTGATGCGGCATTGGTTTAGTGTCTAGCCACATGCCTTTTACTGGTGAAATGCAGTTAAGTGGCCCGAGAAAGGGCGCAGTAATCTGGAACGCAAGATTCATGGGAGCGTATGCAGAGTATACTGCGCCGCGTTACAAGACCGGAGACCTAACCGTACGAGTTGTGTGGCTTGAATTCACTGATGTAGTCAAATAAAGTAAATCATCAGACATGTTCAATTTTCTTAGTGAACGCACAACCAAGGCTAAACGGCCTGCGTGTATCTTTTTGGCGAGCTCGGTGGTTTTGCTCCGAGAGTAGCGTGTGACATTGGCGATAAACTGGGGTTTCGGTGACGTGAGTGGAGACATCATTCTAGACAGTGTAAACAGTGAGGACAGATCGAATGTTTTGTGCACGAGGGAGGATGTTGTCTATCGAATTTAGTCAACACTGTGGCATGCAACAAAGGAATCGGGTTACGAAAACGACAGAGCGAGGAAAATGACCGTTACTTAATCTTGCACTTGTACCGATATGAACTAAAAGAGAAGCACCAACTGGGCGCATGGACCTCAACAAAATTGCAGTCAGTGAGATCTTGAACCAGAGCGAATGAAAAAGACATAAGGGCAGGTAGTGGGCAGCCAAACACTTACGCATGAGAAAAACGGTAGAAATTTCAGAAGTGATACACATGTCCTAGAAAGTACGTGTATGAGACGATAAGGACCAGCTGTTTACACAAGATACACCGGAGCGACGAACCTAAAGGCTGAAAGCCGACAGTCATGGAAACTGTAGACCAGACAAGGGTAAACTCATCTACGGAAGTCGTGTGTATCCTGGGCAAGACATTACTATTTGAATGTAGAACTAAACAAGAACATCGTGTGAACAAACGAGAAATTCGCACAGGGACCAAAGTAGTCAGAAGTTCGATTGGCTGGGGCAAGAGACAAAGAGACAAGGAAGGATCTCGTTACTTGCGCGCAAAACACAAACAGGGTGATACATGTGCATGTGAACGTGTGGCTGTGTCAGCAAGCGCAGCAGCCACGTTTCGGCGCGGTGTGGACGACCAAAACAGAAAAACAAATCAAGGCAATAGAGGCAATGATCGGGAACACGATTGCTGTCGACCACAGTGAAAGAATGCAGTGATACGAAAACCAAATGGAAAAAAGAAGTAAGAATCTAATGAGTCACGCTGACAGAGTATATAATGGAGTAAACTAATTCGGCAGAAAGAATGGGTTAGTGTCAGCGGTTGCAGTGCATTAACGAGCGAGAAAAGCATGTTCATGTGCCTGTTTCCGGCTACAAAGTGTTAGAAAATATGACAACAGAGCATGAAGCTGACACCCAAAGCCTTTTCCTGGGAAATTGTTGGCAGTTGTAAGCTGTCTCCGTAAAATATGACAAGGAATGTGAGGAAATGAACGGTAGACCTTAGGGTATGAATTACCAAGCAAATACATACCAGGAGACTCAGTTGGTTCGTTCCAGTTTCCTTTAGGACTGCTTCTCTGTCTAGTGGACGAGCTGTGGTACGAATGGTCCCTGAAAAGATGGTATTGGAAATAGATTTGTTACAAATAACCGAGACGACCCAGTAGGACAATTAATAAATTGGTCAATAAGGGTGAGATAATCAACAGGGCGTATTAACGAGTAACTTAATTCTACAGAAACTACCTGAGGGAGGCGCATAGTTGTCTGAGGGCTGCTTCGGAGATCGAATTCAACGGAGTACCATTTTTCTGGACAACTTGGAGGCTACCTCAGAAATGAAAGTTAACAAAGTGTTCTTTTACAAAACATACTTCTAAGCTGGAGGGGCATGGCGGCTATGGTCAATGTATCGAGTAAATCCTGCGCTGAATACTTACCAATGCCGAGAGTGAATTCCCCGTTAACTTTAACTATCAGATTTGCCTATCAGATGTGTTAAACTGCACCGAAAATTGTGAGGTGAAATCGGCTATCCTACTACGATAACAACCGCGGGCTACAAACAGATTTCGGACTGGATTTCAGGCAAACGTCGTCACAAGACGAGTTCCTAATCGGCAGACTCTGAAGGAGAAAAGGATGGCAGTTCAGCTAGTGTATGAATTGAGCTTGTGTTGTGGCATTTTCTAACAGACGAGTTCTAATGTAGCAGCAGCTGAAGAACAAACGGGAAGAAAAAAGCTAGTACTACATTTCGACTAACGCTTGAACCGATCTCATAAAAAAGCAAGCCATTCAACGAGGCAGACAAGAATGCACAACTTGAAAAGGTTACCTCACTGACGGCCCAATAATTTGCGTCAACATACTTTTGTCTGGTTCGTACGGCTAAAAAAGGCCGGCTGATGAAAGATGGCTCGAACACCGGACAAGATGAGGAATAACACTGGATACGTTGCATGTAATCAAGTGTGTACAGGAGAACGTTGTAATGTGTCTGTCTGCTTAACCAAACACAATGGTTGGAAAATACTATGAAATCAAACAGCCACCCTTACCAGATTTACTGTCAATGGTAAAATGGCCTTGAGGATCCCCGGCTGATATGTGATAACGCAGAGGTAGGCTATTCTTGTCGGCGTCAGTGGCCAAAACTGTAGCTACCAGCAAACCAGAAGGTGAGTTTTCCGGAATCTCACAGGCGAATTCTGGTGCGATTGGGATTGGATAATTATCATTCTCGTCCAACACCTGAAAATGCGGGGGGGAGGACAAAATGCCCGGTCAGACACAACATATGCGTTTTAAATGTATTCAAATCAGCTGATCTTACTGACTCACATAACGAAAAGTTAAAAACGTTAGCAAAGCACACTCATTTGCATGCCTATTTGGTTATCACAGAATACCCAATTGAATCTCACGTTTATGATGTGCCCAAGAAGGGCGAAAGCGACCGTGGGCTGTCGAAGAGTTTCCACATGCGATACCTTTGACTGACTTGCCCAACAAGCTCACACGTCTGATTAATTTGTAAATGTTTGAACCAATTGCCGTGCTATACGCTATTGTACTATTTTCCACTCGCGTCATTCTCCTGTGCTGTGTTTAGCCGATCAAAGAGGCACTGAAAACGAAGACGCTTGCCATCCAGTCTTGTCATGTATCTCTCAGGAGCATTCAACACCCAACTCGGTATTCCTTAGGGGGAAGAGGCTGACTCAGGTAAATCCAGAAATGTCATGTTTGCATAAGTGAACAGTGACGTCTGCGTGGTAAAAAGAAGCGTGCTAAGGAAGTTGAAATACTCTGTTGAGGAAAAAAGCCCAGTGCCATCCTACCCAAACCAGTGATTTATCCACACTTTTAAACACTCCTGAAAATAGGAGTGGAAACTACTAGTAACGGCCACTGTCATACGTTTCTAGCTAAGTCGTATTAGTCCGAAACTGGTCAAGCAAACCTCAAGCTGGAGGACAAACCACCTCAACAGCATTCAGGCAATTTGCAAACTTCTCACTTTTGTTTTGCACATCTTTTGGTTGGCACCAATTTCAAGGAAAGCTCTTTCGTCAAACAATAACCTGATACGCACATCAAGTAATCAAGCCATTGCAGCCTGTAATGCAGCTGGATGCATCGTCAAACACCCATAGTCCGGACACTATGTTTTGGGTTCACTGATGCTACCCTGCCAGCACATGCGACATAGATGATCAAAGATCTCAATATGCCACGGTTCCTGTGTTCGCACGACTGAATCACACCACTGATCAGCTATCCTTAGTTAAGGTGAGAAACGGACGTGCTAAAAGTTCAACCATAAGTGAGGTTAACCTAGCGAGCGACTTCAAACACACGATAGACCTCTGAAATATTTCCTTAGTCAAGCTAGTTTCGATAAATGGTGCACTCTGTGATAACTAGCACCAACCTCCCAGATTCCCATACTATTGGAATTTGAATAATCAACCGGAGATTCTACAGAATTCCCAGTTCTTTCGGTGGTGTACGGTTGAATTTTCTCCGTAAGAGAACCAAAACGTATGTAGGATATGCTTATGGTTACGTACTGTAACTTTGCTATTTCTTAATAAGTTTTATGCGTACTCACTGCTGCGCATTTGCGGTTCACTGTCCTTCGCGTGCTAGGCTACATATCTGTTGAGCCTTGACAACCTTCGACCTTATTTATATGCCAATCAATTTGTCAGTTGTATCAAAGGACCTTTGTAGCCATTAAAAACTGTGGGAACAAAGTGGGACATGGAGACGAGATAGAAATTTGAAAAATTGTTCAGTCATACCGCCCTTCCAGTGCCTAATTGCCATGCCACCAGAAGGGGGCACGAGGGCTGGGATACTGCTCGGTTGTCTAAGCCTAGACAGAAGTCGAGACGGGGAGGTCGGGTTTGAACCACGGAATTTCCGGTCAGTGAATTCGCGTTCTAACCACTGAGCCATCTCACCAACAGAATGAGAAGCATAATACTTACAGAGTGATGAAACCTTGCATTAATTCTAGAAGAAAGTATCAAGGAATATCGGCTTAAATGAACCCTAGGGTGCCATTTGCGAGGTGCACTTGGTTAAAAGATACTACAAACCGGAAATTTATTCTAGTCTCAAATTAACACCACATCAGTCAGTAAACCAGTGTTTAATCAAAAGTTAGACAGTTGCTGGAACTCCTGAAGATGTCCAAATATGAAAAACGAGCTTACTTCGATAAAGATCTCTGCCAAGCTACGCATGGGGCCAGCGTGTTCCGTTGAGATCACTTGAGGCTGAGTGGATCCACTCAGAGTAGTGGAGAATTCGAGAGGTCGTTCAACCGCGTATACCGTCAACCAGTAACCGCCTTCTTCAGGCTGTGACTCGGCATCCAGAATACGCTTATTTCGAACAACACCTGATGGATATGGAAGTATGAATAGAAAGTGAACGGAAAACATGCTACCGATGTGAGCGTCCACAACGAACAGGATGTACAGAGGTTATAAGGGCAGAGCTAATGGACGTTTCCTAAATTTGTCTAAAATCCATTGAGCAAGTGATGGGTGCAAAATATGAATAGGTTAAAGAAACTACTAATATTGCCCGAGGGTCATTAATTTATCAAATCAAATGGTCTAGCTGAATAAAAGATGCCCAACCGCATTAGAGTTATGAATACAGTAATCTACCAACCAAGCAGGGATGTAATGAAGTTAAACATTGAACTTGAACAATAAAATAACAAATTTAACTTATAGGGATTCCACAGTCGCCCAACGTACACAGGGTGGGCTGTCAACGAATCTGATGTGATGCAAGCTACTGACATCAAAGCATTAGCACCAGAGATGGATCAGCGCAACAGTGAAGCTGACAAATAGAAAGCCAGTTCTGATCACTCCAAAAGCACCGTCAGTGCCAAAGGACTCCATGAATATGTAAACCAAAAATAATTTAAAATTGATTGACTCCTCAGCGCCTACATGGTGCGCACCTTGCACAGGCCCATTCTATAAAAAGAATTAATTTAGTGGTGCCTACAGTTAACAGACTTTTGAGAGCAACCATTAAGACAATATCTAAAGCAAAAATGCGCGGCGCAAAGCAGCAGCAACAGGAATTGGTCAGTTAACACTTTCGTCCATGGAAAAGATGATAGGAAAGTCAAACGCTAAACAAATATTTGGACCTAAAACCAGCAAGCGATTGAGTTGACCACCTCGGTGAGGAACTTCGTAGACAACAAAATCGAAAAGTGAAGAGGGATTATTAATGTCTGATTTTTCAACTTGTTGCTTTCATGAATTTTGCGGTCGAGTGACTGGCACAGTGGCGGCCACATTCCGATTTTGTCACGCAACCTGGAAATGCGTTATCTGAGTTACAGGAAGATGGCAGGAAACCAGGGTGTTATCGTACATAGAAATGCACAGACGAAAAGCTTCTATGATCGCCAGCCTAGACAGAGACAAGGTTTACCTTAAGTACAACAAACAGGAAGATCGCCTATGGAAACTATTGTCACGCATGAGAAATTCACTCGCGGATACGGATAGGAACGCTGACACGTAAAATAAACGACCAAGTGAATTGGAATGACTTGTTTCACCACCTCCGCATAGATGGATAGAAAACAATGTGTTCATCATGGCTCTATGACATTACTGTGTTTTGATAAAGCGAACTAAACAGCACGAGAAAATCGAGTTTGTATTGTTGAATTCGAATTAACCAGGTTAGCCAGGAGTGCAGCAGGAGATGCTCCACTTCGTTTAATCAGTCCACAGTTTTGACTATGGTTGATTCAATTTACGTAACAGCATTCACGTAGCATATGAGAGATGTCTGATGGTTGTAGCGGCAGATGAGTTTTCTAAACCTCAGTTTTCTGTCCCCCAGAAAACTACATTCTATTTCGAATGAGTAAGAACGCTCGCCAGTATTAGGTGCCCATTCCTGTTGTGTTACTACTGGTGCGAAAAGTAAGGTACAACAGCTACGATGCTTTGAGCTAATTCGTTCGCATAACGCATTGAATGTGCTACAGTGATGTGAAGCATGATAGGGCAAAGTGTAACAACCAAAACTAGTAACAGTATGCACCTTAAGAAGTTATATTTTTGAAAACATTGACTAGTGTTAAAAACCAGTACCCACTGGTGGTTGATCAGATGGCAGTTGATCTGTTCGCCGAGCTTGGCGATTCGCTTGCAAACGTTTCGTCCCCAGTCGAGGAGACATCGTCAGTGCGCAGTACCCAATATCATACGAAACTCATTTGATAGAAGTACCCTCATAAAAACCGAACAGTATGAGAAAGAGTTGTACGATGGTCCAGTACAGACTTCGGTGGATCTTACACCAACGATATAGAGAAAACCTGAATGAGTTAGGGACGTGTATTGTAACGTACGCACCAGTCAACCTTCTTGCGCCACTTTACATTTGACACGTACCGGCAGCCAGAACCCCACCATATCCCATTGATGACTTTCACAAGGGATGTTCGCGCGAGCCAGTGTCGTTAGGAAGGATACAAAAGCCATATATTTGTATTGTTTTGAAAACCGAAAGCTAAAGAACTGTTGTTCCGCTCCAGCTACAACAAACGGACCGTTGTAACGTGAAAACGGATGTGTTATTACATCACTTCAAATCAACCAAGAAATATTCCAGCGCCGAAGATTGCGGAACAGAGGGGATATGGTAATGTAGACTACGTCGAAAAAACTGGAAAACTCAGACTATTTCGGAGGCCCGAATCGTTTACCTCGCTCGATTGACGCTCATTCGCCTAATCATATTCGGAGGGTAGTTAGATTGAGTAGAATTTTATTCTAACAGCTGGCCTGCCGCATGTTGGTTCGTTCTTCAACGTGTCATGAAAATTCTTTTGTAAACACATTCGCAATGGAAACACGGATCACGACAAACATATTCAGTAGCGCGAGACAAAATGAACGAGCAGTGGGAATTCAGAAAAAGGCTGCACTGACACAGCCCTTCAATCCCGTCATCATTCCATATTGACGTAACGCACCTCCGGTGAACATCTGGCCGTTTCTCTACTCCTAAAAAACATGGGGCAGCCGGAGCTGATGCCCCTAAGCTCACTACACGACCTGTAACTCCAAATTTGAGGTTATGGGCTGAGATAATTAAGATGAAAAGTCACCTGAAGTAGGATGAAGTAAGTTGTGTGAACGCAACAACGAGAACAATTATTCCGTGAATGCTTCAAGAAATAATGGAAAATGGCATGGACGTTTGCCACCACTTATAGCCTACTGATTAGGAAATTTAGCATTAAGTCATGTATATCGATGCGTCCACCATGACGAGCCCTTAAACTAATCCTCAATGCATTGCACATTTCCAGGACAAGATATGTTCTGAATGGCGTGGCTTTTCCGGGCGTTTTCCTCGGTGTAAACTAAGATTCATAGCTAGACCACGCCGACCGGATTACACCCTACACCGAAAGGGGATCTAGATGCAGAAATATCCATCTGTATAAGAAATATCACTTGTTCGAAAGGATAAACTCCGTTTGCACAGTCGCGTTTTACAAAAGAACAAACTCAGCCAACATAGAAGACAGTTAGCAGTGTAAACACTGGTAACTAGACGTACCATGGTCATCAATGTAGAAATATCCCAAGCCTGATCCTCCAGCCAAGAAAAAGGTGACATCGCTACCCTCGGGATCCGCTGCTTCAAGCCTGAAAGGAGACATATCCTTCACTCTGCTGAGAACAGCAGTCCCGCTCGGAACGTTCTCAGTTATTACGCAGGAAAAAAGAGCTGGTTGTACGCGAAACATGGGGGGAAAGACATTGATACGCACCGGAACAACGTGGATGACGAAGGAGCTATTAGAGGTCAGCTGGGGTGTGCCACGATCAAACGCCCAGGCAGTCAAATGAATTGAACGACCGCGATGTTTCACAAGTTCACAACTTGCAGCAACACGTACAACTCCCGTAAACTGATCAACACTGAAGCAATCTGCATCTTGAGGGCTGCCGAAAAGACTGTACCCAACGAGACCGTTCAGTCCATCGTCTGCGTCTGTAGCGAGCAAAGTAGTGAGGTAAGCGCCCTCAGGTAAGTCTTCAGGAATAAAAAGCCGATAACCTTCCGTACCAAAAGTGACGTCAAGTTGAGCATCAGGTATTTCGTTCTGACCAGGTATCCCGGGCGAAGTAAAAACTGGTGGATTATCATTAATATCTGTGACAGTGACCCGAACTCGGGTGACAGCAACTTGATGAGCTGCAGAGTGATTTCTTCGTTCTGCTAGCTTGTAGAGGTGCGTGTAGTGTGGTGACAACAGTCTCCTCTGTTGATCCTTTCGGCGGGAATGACTAGTAGCTTCAATGACCAGGTCGTAAGAGGACTGTATCTCTCGATCCAATGAGCTAAGCAGACGGATGCGCCCTGTTCGAGGGTGGATCTGTCGGGTGTGACGGTGAAATGTCAAAATGGTTGGCAAAATGAATAATCCAATAAAGCAACGCAACAAAGCAAGTGATCCAAAATGTGGGTGAGCTAGTGTGTGGAGCTAGTTTATAGTAAAAGGAATTTCCAAAGCGTTAAAACTGGTGGGCAACAGGATGAAAAAGGCCACGAAATCTTGGTAAGCTATTCAGTGAAGCAGACCGCTCAGCTCTCGAGATATTTCTTCCGTCTATTATTCTGTAAATATAAACAACATTGAGTAAAATGTGAATTAAAAATTGGAGGACTCGCCTACAATTTTCAGAATAGTGTGCACTCCACAAGCTACACAAATTCAGCACGAAGAACAGCGCTACTGACGGTAGATGATAGTCCAGTAGCCTAGCGTATGTAGCAACTGACACCCCGATAGGGTGAGGTTTTCGGTTTTGGCATAAGATAATTAAGTCTGGTTCACACAGTCATACAAGCCCCTCGTGTGTGAACTCGGCGTACAGCGGAGTAGGCGTATGACGCCGGTTGTCTCCGTCTCAATAATTTCCGAAAATGTAACAACACTTTCTGTTTATGATGCCCAGTGTTTCTCTGAAGCATTTCAATCGACTAGCTGTGACGCCCCCTCGGTGCCTAGCAGCCATGTATGGAGCACGAGGGATGAGATACCAATAGGTTGTCAAAGCCTAGACAGGAGCAGTCGAGATGCCAATAGGTTGCAAAGCCTAGACAGGAGCAGTCGAGATGCCTGGGTTGAATTCGAACCACGAACCTTCGGTCGGTAGGCTCGTTCCTTAACCACTGAGCCATCTCGAGCTCATTTCAACTTCAACTGAAAGAACAATAACTTCGACCACAAGGGCTCTCTCACACTGTCTATTTGCCGGTTATCTGTGAGAGTGGGGAATGAATGACACGCATAGGGGTAAAAAGGTGGGCAGGACCAAAGGAAAAATAGAACAAGGTTGGATCATATCCTTGATACGGTTCAATATTACTAAGGCGCTGGACGCAGGCTATGGTACTGGCTTATTCAGCTGGATGATATATGAGCAAACGCAAGCCGGCTAGCTTGAGCGTATAATCATATCCCCTTTGGTCGCCGGGCTTTCTGATTTGCACAGTCTCGCGCAAGTGTACTGACGGTGAAAACCGTATCCTCCCTATCCTTTCAAGAACGGAGGCTTCAATGCACGTTGAAAAGACTTGTTCAGGACAATCAAAAGATGATTTAAGATGTAACTAACAACGTAGTGAAGAGCGAACATTTGACAGATAAAGGTAGGTGTAAGCAAGGGACTTTTTACACTTTCCCGACCTGCTGTATGCAGCAATTAAGGCGATTTGGCTGGTGGCGACAGCCAATGTGGCTCGAGTTCATTGTTAGACGCAAGTATCATGTACCACGCGACAGCCAATGTGGCACGAGTTCATTGTTAGACGCAAGTATCATGTTTGTATGTGGGTTGGGATACTGTCAGGGCACCCACACCTAGACAGAAGGACGATTAGAGCCCTCAACTGAAGCGTTGGCTCAAAAGCCTAACCTGAAGGCAGCGGTGTTTGGTGGGAAATGCAAACGCATTACCATTTCTAAGGAGCAAGTCGCCACATGTTCCAAACCCAACCTGGGGGACCAGAAAACTGTGTTCGTCACACCTCCAGCCATTGACCAACCTGACATGAGACCCTGTGAGTGTCGGGGGGACACTCTCCAAAATATCCCAATGGGTCGCTCACGTGCGCAAACCGTCACACCGCTGTAATGTTCTGTCTCTTGGTGAGAGTAAACAAAGTCGAACACACTCTTGAAGTCAGGGAACATCAGGATTGTAGGGCGTTCAAACGCGCGCCGGTGTCCTAACACATGATGTAGTGTGAACAGCCCATTCCCACCAGCATCACGCTTGCTGTTCTCGGATCCCGTCTTCGTATACCTTCGTAAGACGATGTAGAATGAGTGATGCGGTCTGAAGAAGATGGGACTTCTATGACTGTCACCTAAGGCCTCGGAGGTTTACGACTGCATATGTTCTCTCAAGTGCCACCGAGCTCCCGGTCCGGATGACCTTCTACCCGCACTGTTCAAAGACGGGGGTGAAGTCAGCGCTTGTCCGATCTGTTTGCTTGCATTTGGGAAAAGGAGTCTGTCCCAGACAACTGGGGAGAATCGGTGATAGTGCCCATTTTCAAAAACAGGGCGCGTAATGAGTGTGGTAACCACAGGGGGATCAGCTTGACCCCGGTTGTAACGAGACTGTTGGCGTCAATTTTGTTTCGTCGCCTTACGGTGGCTCGTGAGATACTGACTCGAGAGCAGCAAGCGGAAGTCCGGCCTGGTAGGGGTTGTTTCGATCAAATCTTCAAACTGCGTCAGGTGCTAGAACAACGCCATACGTATAAGCGACCCACGATTCTAGTATTCCTGGATTTCCGAGGCGCATTCGACTCGGTTGATCGGTCTGTTCTTCTTGAGACGCTTGCCCACCAAGGAATGCCCCGGAAGTTTGTAAACATAATACGTTCTTTGTATTCTCAGACTTCCGGACGTGTGAGAGTGTACGGAGAGCTCTCCAAAAGCTTCCGCACACAAAGCGGTGTCCATCAGGGATGCCCACTCTCTCCATTCCTTTTCAACTTTG